ATGTAGCTTATAAATTCAGGGGAAGTCCGAGTGTCTGAGTCTAGTTGCTTGATTACGTAACAAAATTGGGCAGTGGTTGAATCAACAACACATCGTCATTTAGTGCTATATATTTGGGGTAAAGGTATTCGTCAGTTGATTTTCAACGGAGAAAGGTGTCAAAAGAGTTCAGTGAAAATCTTATCAAAATGATTTAATTACACTTTAAGAAAGAATGTGTAGAAGAATGTCATTTCATCCTACTGCCTAAACTTAAATCGGAACTTCAGTATTTGCTTTTAAATTAATGAATGAACAATTGAGTTTATCAAGAGAAATGATCTTCAGAATTAACCTATTACTTTCTTAATTGGTCGTAGTGCGCACCTAGAAGTTGTTTATTTCAAGATTTATCGTACACTCTTCCATAGACTAACTATAAAAGGATATTTTTCTTTGCGTAAGAAGAACTAAGACGACTATTCTAAAATTAACGGACGAGACGTGTCTTTAAGAACACAATTGAGATACCTGAAATTCTTCAAGAAACACGACGAAACTCCATATCTTTTTGACTAACAAATATTGGTTAAACACTTTTTTATTATATTCTATATCAAGCTTTAGTTCGGAAAATTCAATTAAAAAAGTCAGTATATATAAAATTGCTAAAATTGTTCAATTTCTGGGCTGGCGATTGTCTGTCTTGTCACTAACGTCATACTGCACACGTTACACAATGAGAAATGCATTTTGAAAGAGTTTTATCTAAAGGTTTAGTTCGTTCAATTGTATAAATGAAAATGTCACGTTTCACTTAAGGATGTACACATCTGAGGAGCCACAAATTTCTATAGAGTTAAACTTTTTTCTTTACCTTATGTTTGGGTTTATAAGACTGTAAGAAAGTAATTGATGAAGAAAAAGTCATATGGTTGTGCACTTCTATTTTTTTTTTTGCTACGGCCATTGGAAAGTAACCATTTTTAATAATTATCCTATTTTTTATCAGTTTTTACCCATTTTTGGACAATTATCATGAAACAATTCACAGTTCTACAATAAAGCTCTTTTTCATACATTCACTACAGATGAAGTGGACCAATCTGAATACATGTACATATGACTTTAAAAAAAACTATCGGTTGGTGTTGATACAAGAAAGTTTTATAAAAATGTGTTGCCTTTTGCTTTCAAATTGACCGTGCTGTCAATTTTGTAAATTTGTGATTTTTCTCTTTTTGGTTTTACAACAAAAAGCATATTATTTCAACTTGTTTGGTATAAATTTTTGAAAACAAAAAAATTGATATGGGATGTACATATTTTTGGTAAAATCATTTCTTTGTACCCCTTACCCATTTTCTCAATATTTTGGCTAATGACACTGACCGGATTGGTTATAAAATTCGAACATTTTATTACTCACAAACTTCTTGTTGTAAGTACACAATTGTTTTCACAGAGTTTAGTTTAATTATGATTTTTTTTTTAAATTCGTTAATATTTTCCACTTGTTTCACATTTTTGGAAATAATTCCCGAACAAGATTTCAACGAGACTGCAACATCAGAAGAAAACATCCTTTAAATGAAAAAAAAAGAAAGAAAATTACACAACTATCTCCCTTATCATGCTTAATGATTATTAACTTGGCTTTTTGTTTTTGTAAGACGAAGAGTTTCCTCGAATAAATAAATGACTTTTATGTATAATTTCAGCTCATTATTGTTGTTTGTGTTTTGTTTTCAATAATAAAGAAGTGTGTACTTTTTGAATAAGAATAAAATGTATTACAATGTTTGATCCATTTCTTTTTTTTTTTTTTTTTATAAATAAATCTTTGATTGCACATTTCTCTGCTGTTTTTACAACTTACACGACTCACAGCATTCAGTCGGGTATCCCTGTAAATTAGTTACTGTTTAACCAGGGAGATTATACAGTAAAATTTATATCTATTAAATATGGTTAGTTATACAATGAATACATTGATTTTAACAATTCGTTTTTGAAGTCTTTATTATATTAAGTAATTACGGAAGTTGTACTATCTATTGTCCGATATTGTTTATAGTTTAATCGTTGACCTTAACCTTGATCAAAATATTTCACGTGAAAGTTGAGATGATCGGATGATTAAAGAATACCACGGCATGTGTATTGATGATGAGAGCAGAAGGATCTTATCTAAGTATTTCTAATGGTGAGTTTTGGAAATATTTCCATCGCTTTTTAATAAATTTATAGAAAGAATCATAATTTATTCTTAAATATCAAGGATTTTTCCGGTCAGTAGACAGTACAGGGTCAATGTTCAATAAGTTTGTTGTACAGGTAAACATTGATCATTTATCACATTTTTAAAAACACACATGAAACCTAAAATTTCGCAGTTGTTTACATTTCATATAGGTTATTCTACGTAATATACAATATACGTTATACTGAAAAAAAAGAACATATACACATGATACAATGTAAACATGGTTATTATATATTTTTATAAACATCATTCAACAATCTACTTGTTTTTTTATCAAGAAGTTTCATACTTTCAAAGTATTGTTTAAATTCTAACTTAAAAATTCTATAGACATCAACACTATTTTGTTTATACTCTGATGCATATGTAGATTTATAAATAGAGAACATTAATACAGTGAGAAACAGATTTATGTCATAGTATGTTTTATCATATATTTTGTAGCCAAGTATTAGATTTTTATAGGTGATTATCAGTGTCCTCATTTTTATTTTATTAAGGAGTATTTTGACCTTTTTCCAAAAATTTTGAAAGTATTTGCAAGTAATGAAAAAGTGTTCATAGTTTTCTAATTGATTGCAAATATGGCACTGGTCATCGTTTTTCAGTTTCCAGATATACAATAGCTGTTTACAAGGAAGGATATAGTGAAGTAACTTCCACCTGAATACTTTTAATTTATTAACTTGTAAGCTATAAAATATAAAGTTGAGCATTTTGTATAGATAACTTGACGAATCCAATTTAAATTGTGTTTTCCATTTTAGAAAGCCAATTGGTGTTTCTTCCTCTATATTACATGAATAAATGCTTTTATATATTTCTTTTGATGGAAGGTTTTCAATGCAGATCAGTTTTGTACTATTTTGTGTTTTTAAGTATATCTTTTTATTTGTTTTAACTTGAGTATAGCACGATTTATCTGATTTCATTTCCAACTGCCACTTTTTTGGTATTGCATGTTTTATTTTAGATATTTCTGATATCCAATTAGATTTAATGGTCAATTTATCTAATATTATCTTTTGTGAAATTTTTCCTGCTTTGTCGATTATATTATTAATAAATAGTATCCCGTTTGTTATCCAATGTGAAAATATTAAGCATTTGTTTTGAAATTTTATATGTTTATTGCCCCAAATGTATTGTTGTCTTATATTAACAAAAGTTGTACTGTTATTTTTGTTTGAGATATTTTTTAATTTAAACCAACTTTTAACTATTTCTAAGTAGAAAAGAAGGAGTGATTTACTAAGGTTTGGGATTGCTTTTATGCTACCTGGATTCATGTTGAATAAAGAAAAGTTTTCTCCAAATGTATTAAAAAAGAAAAGGGGAATAACTTTCCAGTTTGCAAAGTGTTTTGATGTTAATCGTTTGACCCAGGATAATTGTATAGCTGATAGGAAATTGTCAATATTAATCATTTTAAGGCCTCCTTCCAAGTAATCTTTACATAAAGTTATCCGTTTAACCTTTTCTTTTTTATTACCCCAAATGAAGTTGTAAATCAGTTTTTTAAATTCATTCAAAAATTCTTTGGATATAGTTGTAACTGATGCCAAGAAAGTTAAGTTTGGTTGGATAAGAGATTTAATTACTGTTATTCTACCTATCATTGTGAGATTTCTTCTGTTCCAGTTGTTGATTGCATCTTGAGATTTTTTTTAAATTCTTTCTGTATTTAATCTGTCACATTCATCTTTGTTAAGTCCAAAATATACCCCTAGGCTTTTAATAGGTTCTTTATTCCAGTTTATATTTTCATATTTATCTTTGCAACTTTTTAGTTTGCCTAGCCATATGCCTTCTGTTTTCGATCGGTTAAGTTTAAGACCTGAGAGTGTTCCAAATATTTCAATCAAGTTTAAAGCATAGCTTATTTCCTGCTTGCATTTTAAAAAAAGAGTAGTGTCATCTGCTAATTGTGAGATTTTCAAACTATGTCTTTTAGAGTCTAATTTGATTTGAAATCCCTTAATACCAGTATCTTGCCTTATTCTGCATGCAAGAATTTCTACTGCTATAGTGAAAATTAGAGAACTGCATGGACATCCTTGTCGTATCCCACGAGATGCATTATAAGTTTCTGAAATCCAACCGTTATTTAGCATACAGCCTTTAATATTCTTATATAATGTTTTAACCCATTTAATGAATGAGTTTGGATGACCAAATTTTATAAGGGCTTCATACATAAAGCTCCATTCTAATGAATCAAAAGCTTTTGAAAAATCAATAAAAAGTAATGCACCATCAATATGAAAGGTTTCAGCATAATCTATAATGTCTTGGATTTGGCGTATATTAAAACCAATATATCTATTTTTGATATAACCATTTTGATCGCTGTGAATTACTTTCAACAGTATTGGTTTTAAACGTTGGGCTATTGCATATGCAATGAGTTTTGTATCTACATTTAATAGCGTAATTGGTCTATAGTTATCTAGTGACAAAGGGTCTTTTTTTTTTGTAAATTAAGGATATTATACCTATCTTTTGTATGGTTGTTAGTTCTCCCTCTTCATAGCATTTATTAAAAACTTCAACTGTAAATTCTTTTAAATTACTCCAAAAAGTGCGATAAAATTCTACACTTAGCCCATCTATTCCTGGCGATTTATTTAATTTCATTTTAAATATTGCCTTAGTGCATTTTTCTACTGTTAAGGGGCCTCCCAAGGAATCACTTTCTATTTCAGATAGTTGGATCAATGTTGGTCTCATTTATATAATTTTTGATATCTTTTAAATTTGGAGAAGTGCTTTTATATAAATTTTCATAGTATGATTTTTCTATGTTTAAAATTTCTGCGTGTTCTGTAACTATTTTCCCCTGTTTATCTTTTAGCGCTGTAATGCTCTTTTTTGTTTGTCTTGATTTTTCAAGGCCCAGGAAGAATTTAGTATTTTTCTCTCCTTCTTCTAACCATTGTACTCGAGATCTTATTTGTGCACCTTTAACTTTATTGGAATTGAGGTGTTCAAGTTCATTTTCAATGGTTTTAATTTCTTTTTTCATAGTTGGGCTTGCATTTGTTTTTTCATTTAATTTTCTTAATTTTATTTCTAAATTTTTTATATCATTTTTATTTTCAGATGATCTTTGTTTGCAGTAAGTAAGAGTTGCGGTTCTTACCTCTGATTTAAACATATCCCACAGTGTTTTTAAATTTTTGGTGAGTATTTGTTTTTTTATAGTTTTCGATTAATTTATTTATGAGGTCAATATAATTTTGCTCTTTAAGTATACTGTTGTTTATTTTGAAGAATCCCCTGCCTCTTTCTTCTGAATTTTGTCTAACTTGTAAAGAAATGGCTTGGTGATCAGTATAAGAGATCATTGCTGGTCGAATATCTGCTTTCATAACATGCGGTCTTATATCAGGACTTATCAAAAAGAAGTCAATTCTACTGGCTATTTTTATATCATTTTTTCTTCTCCATGTGAATTGATCTGTATTTGGATTAAGTTCTCTCCATATATCTGTTAAATTATTTTTCTGTATTAATTTTTTTATACTATTCACTGGTTTGTAGTTTCTTGGGATGTTATTAGTTTTTTTTTATCATTAATTGAGAGAGTTTCATTCATATCACCTCCTAGTATAAGAATACCCAATCGATTGTTTTCAATTATATTTTGAACTTTTTTGAAAAATGTATTTCTGTTTTTGTGTTGATTTGGAGCATATACATTTATTAAAGTAAAAATATTGTCATTTATTTCTATGTTTATCAAAATTATTCTGCCTTCAGTATCTTTTATCTCGTTTATTGTTTTACATTTTAAATTATTTTTTACATAGATTGAGACCCCTCTTGATTGTGTGTTACCATGACTATGAAACATTTTACCATCAAACTCATTATTTATTGTTTGTTCATATTTTTCTATAAAATGTGACTCTTGAATGAAAAGAATATTACATTTTTTATTTTTTGTCCATAGTTGTAATCTTTCTCTTTTTCCTTTTTGGCCTAAACCTTGACAGTTTAGTGATATTATATGAAGATTTTCAACCATTGTTAAATTTAAAGTTTAAATGTGTTGTTGACATAAGTGCAAAAAGAAGATATATTTGTTTCACCTCATATTCACTACATATCTTCATTAGTTGTTTGATTTTATGGTTACTATTAAAACATTGGTACATGATTATTTGTGAAATAAGTACATATAGTAAACAAAATATAAACACAAACTTGACAATGTACATAAACACAAATAAAATATAACAACACAAACATATATAAGCATGCATACATGTAGTTAAGCACATAATTTTATTAATTTGTTCATATATATTAGATTTTGCAGTTGCTTTTTTTACATTTTTTGAGACTATATATATATATTGAGAAAACAGATATATTTTATTTATATCATGTATAATAATTTCATGGTTATTTATTTTTAGGTCTGATATTTTGACAGTAGGCTGTAATTGTTGGACTATATACATGGTGTAGGAATTTACAATAAATTTAGAAACAGTCGAAATGTTTATAGTTTGCAGAAACGGTACTTGTATATTTCTATGGAGGAACATTTTGGCAAATAATGTGTGGCTTGCAGAGGATAGAAGGATGGTTTTTACCATATGGATTAAATAAAACTTTTGAAGTATTCCTAATATGTGGATTAAATAAGATATCCAAATGCCTTTTACGTGAAATGAAAAAGGGCAGTGTAATAATTCTAATATATGTGGATTGAGACTGATGGATAATTTGTTATAAAGCAAGCATATATTCAGAAAAATTTATTTTGGATATATGTGGATTAATGAATTGGTATTCATCAAGGATATATTCTTTTTATCTATATTTCTACTTCGAGCGGCCAGTGTGTTTTTTTTTAAACAGTTCAACTTCAAGTATATGTATATTTATTATGTTTATTGTATTATGATTTTTTAAATGAGTATTGTGCATCATAATAAATTTTATTACCAATACAGCTTTCCATATATATTTTTTTAAACCTGAGAAAGTTATTTTTGTGATCGTTTTATCACAACTTGACTTGTTCCTACATGTATCTGTTATTTGTTGAAAAACATATTCAGAACAGAGACATTTATATAGTGATTTTACGATATTCAACAATGGGGTCATTTGAAAATCATCTTTTTTTAAAATATACAGTTTTATACACAATTTATTACATGTATATACATTTTCATTCATATTTATTGTAATACTATTTTCAAGGTGTATATAATCTGAAATTATATCACACTGTGACTTATTTTTTTTTTGTATTTTTTTCCTGGCTAAAAAGAGATATATACAAATAAATAAAAAATATGATACAGTATTTACAATGATTCATAGTTGTATTTTATTTTTGGATGCTTATGTGTTTTCGGATCGTTATGTGTTATCAGATGTCTTTGGTTTTGTTGAGCCAATCTCACGGTCATGCAGTGTATCAGTTGGTGTGGTGACAGATCTTTTTGCTGATTTCTGCTGAGGGGTTGTTCCAAGATATTTATCGAGTGGACCATGAGTTGTTCCCTGTGAGTTGGATGCTTTTTTCTTTTTCTTTTTTTTTTCAATTTTTGTTCAGGAGATTGTTGTGCAGGTATGTCTGACTTCAATTCAGATGAGTTTTGTTTCTGTACATGTATATTGTTTGTATCTTTCGGAAGTTCAGTTTTTTTACTGATTTCTTCAGTATGTGGTGTATCTAACAGATTTTCGGTCAATTGTGATAACACAATCTCCTCACCTTTCTCAGACTCATCTTCACTTGTTTCATCTGACTCTTCCAACGATACTTCTGAGTCAACTTGACTGTTCTCATTAAACTCAGCTGTGCAGTCCTTAGAAATGTGCCCATTTGCACCACATGTCTTGCATTTCCATTCATTGTTACAGTCTGTTTTTTTATGACCTTTTTGCAGGCATTTGGTACATTCAATTTCTGTGTTGTTCTGATTTATTTGACCCTTATAGAAAATGAGTCCACGATATTTGCCAATTTTGACGTTTCTTGGAATTGTGTGGAGAAAGGGTTCACAATAAAAGATTCGGTCACCTGTTTGACAGTTTGTCACGAGCCCATCAATTCTTAATCTCTCTCTGTGGTAGTTTAGTACTTCGAGGTGCCAATTTTGTAGGTACCTTACCAATTGCCCATCATCAGCGGATAGTGGAATATTTTTTATTCTAATTCTGACTGTGGTTGGGCTTTCTTTTTCAACATATTTTGGATTTCTTGGATATACCTCAATGCGCTTTTTCCTAACTGTTATCGAATTAACCACAAGACTTTCTCGGTCTTCCTCACTGTCTGGGTATATACGCCATACCCCTCCAATGACTCTCTGAAGACCATTTAGGTGGTTAGCTGGTATGGTAAGATCAATACATTTGAATAATTCGGTATGTGTAAGATAATTGTTTTTATCAGGTTTTGAGCTACCGAAAATGTCTGATTCTCAAATGAATACAGGCTTGACGTTGAATATTTCAGCATCAGGGTCTGCATTATCTTTATTAATGTTCTTGTGTTTAAGTGCCAAGACATAGGAGCCCGCCATTTTGACCACTCATGGTTGCAAAGTAGAAAACTGTTGTGTTTTGATCTATAACTGATGTTAATTGTTGTTTTGTTTATTGCTTAAATAGATAGAGTGACTCTCACATCTGTGCATTGATATTAATTGTTGTGTTATTTCCCGGAGCTTGGAAAACCGTGGTCAGCCATTCAAACCGGAAATCCCATCCCTTTTCCATTTCTAGTATATTGTAAGATGACTGCATGCTATGTTGTGTTCATTCATAATGTAAACATGTACTTACATATAGTATTCAATTGTTAACAAACAGTGGAGATTTAAATCCGCTTTGCCTATGACAATCGACTGCTGTACTACGACACAACACCCAAATATCTGTTGCCAGACTTGGAATGTCTGTATGACATTGGGTATGGCACTGGGAATGTTGTGTAGCATAGTGCTATAACGTCTCAGATGGTTGCATATGAATTCATCAGAGATATACAATATAATATGTCATATCATCAATGAGTTAACTGTCGTGTTCAATCCAGCACTTATACATTCAGCCTGATGCTGTATCAGTTTATACTCGGTGAGTTGTTCGAATGATATTGAGACCGGTTGCGTCGTAAGTAAGTAAATGCGTATCCTGATAAAACTTGCACCCAGTCCAATGGACTAAAATATTGAAAATCCTGTTTTTAATGTTATGCAGGTTTATGCATTGCGATTGAAGACATTTTAAAAGAGTCAAAGACATTTTGTATGTTCTTTGTTTTATACCTTTGTACCAAAAAAAGTTGTTTTTTGTTATCCTTTTTTTTTATTTTTTATTTTATTTTTATAGATTCTTAACGTTTGTATTGTTTAAATCTGTCAAAAAAACCGTTTTCAGTCATTAGTTATCGTTGAGCATTTTGATATTTGGTTTCATGTGCATCAATGACAGGGTACTTCCACACAACAGAAAGACACGTAGTACAGATCTGAGAGTACTCGCAGTTACTGACAGCTAGTTCAAAGCCAATAATAACTAATGAAAATATATTTGTTTTTTAGCTGGTATTTTGTTAGTATCATTCAAAACGCTTTTGAATATACTCTTCACACTAAAGTCTTGACGGGGTTTATAGTATAGAGAATAGGGGCATAACACAAAGGAAAGAGACGAATGGGCTAAAATAGAGAAGAGAAAATCAATATAAATCAAGGAAAGAAAATAGTAGAATTATCTCCCTTAATGATGATTAATTTGGTTTTTTGATTTTAAAGTTAAATTGTGTAATTGCACAGCAGAATTGTTCAGTTTATTCACCGTCTTCTTGGGTTTTTTCCACTTTCCATCGTAGATAAATGTGACCGAATTCTTCTCCATAAAATAAGTGTAAAATAATTATGCCCCTTATGGTAATTTAATTCCTGGTGTTGTTGTTTTCAATCAGAAAGTTGAGGTATATATAAGTTTGCAGAATTGTTTAGTAGTGGAGATTTAAACCACCGTGTCTACAACAATTCACTCTTGCAATAATAACCCTGATTGAATTTCTGACTTGAGAAACAGTTGGGACTTGAGCCAAAATCGGCGATCTATTCCCAAAACAGAATTTAACTCTGGAAGCCTCACTTCTAGATTATGTTCAATGAAATGTTCATCTCCAGTCCACGAACGGAATGTATCATATATGGGTCAATTAGCGCAATAGTACATTGCTGTATGGGGAAAAGACTAATGATCATAAAGTCTTCCACATAAATGTTTCAGTGAATTTATATACAGTGATAACTGATCATTCGGACAGGAGGCAGTTCGAGTTACTGAGACATGGTGGTAGCAAATCTTCGTTTTGAAAAGTACTATTCACTTACAACCAATATGATAAGACAGGTGATCCCTGGTGATATCAGAAGGTGATTGTTTTCAACAAGTCAATTGTATATGTTTGTTAAATTGTTATCATATTGTTTCAGTTATCAAATAAATATTTTGCAGGAAGTTCTATGCTTGCTCTTCATATACAAATTGTGGTAAAACGTATGCTCCTTAATAATTTTGCACAAAAAATACAGCAAAAAAACGAAAACCGGACTGTTGTAGAAAGATTTTTTAAGCTATACTTTAAAGATCCAAATCGATTCTTTAACAATATATGCTTTTTTTTTGTCAATACTACAATACAAACAACAAACCATTAATTGATTTAAAAGCCCTTATGCACTTATATCGGCAAGTGTAATGCTGATGACATTGATACAGGGTTTCGGGTAATGGAACAATACAGAAAAAGAGCAATTCCAAAACTACTGGTGGTACCATTTCAACATCACAACATATCATGAATGGATTTTGATACAATCTTTATATAACATGAATTACAATAAATTTATAACGGTTTAATAAAGAAAGAATTCTTTCCATGACATTATCGAGAAATAATTGCAAGAGCGTAAAAGTCATGTGAAAATTTACAATTGTCACTACGAATAAGAGACAGTATTCAAGCATTGCGACTGGCTCGTGTAAGATCTAGTTTCGTATAGTGTAAGTTCTTCTGTGAAATTTGTAATTGCAACTAAGCACACTTTAAAGTCTATGAAAAATCTGTTGCATTTTCAAAAGGATAAAAAAATCGGAATGTATATCTGAAACTATAATGCAAATTGGATTTGCGAATGCGCAAAGCGAGAGGGCGTTTGTGGGTCTTCCCTAAAAATATATTGAATGTGTATTTGTGTTGCGTGGCATTGATACGCCCCTGGCACTTCAACTTACTATCCTTTATATAGAGTGTCATTCGTACGTTCAACCCTAGTGGTGAACTTAACAAGGTACGTATCTTTGGTGTGGTAGAATCGATCCCCAGTAGTATTGTATTCCCAATCGTTACAACATTGACTGAATCTCGATTCGCATACCTGGTTATTTATGTGTTGCAAAAGACGTTTTTGTGTCGACACATTCGGTCTCTCTCAGTTTGACACTAATTACTGACCATAAGGTTTTTTTCTTAGTTTCTATCTTCAAAAAAATATTTCTCACAATTTGTGAGTTTGTCAACCAAAAAGAATTCTTATCACAATTTTCTTCTGTTATCCAAAATTCGACAATCACTTCCCTCTAATAATTCAGAAATACACACTGTACATAAAAATGATTGGTATCCGATGAGGCAATCTTGACTTAGCATAAGACATAAAGTTGTTACCATGAGCAGGATTAGAACTCCCCAGACCTCAGTGTTGATAGGCTAGTGATCGCTGCAGTTAAACTTCCTAAACCACTAGATCACTACGGTACATTTATAATGAAATAACCATATACAATGATATAGGACTATATTATCCCTACATTTTCATTAACCAACAAATGTAAACCGGAATAAGTCGTGCAAGTCCAGTCTTTTGCTTCATTAATTACAATTTTAATTTTTATAAAATTTAATTCAATTTCTTACGTTTTGCAAATAAAAGGGATTTAACAATTATTTCCATATAAATAGACATGATCATGATAAGACCGATAGATGAATAATAGATTAACACAGAAAAAAACGAAATTAAGAAAACAACAATAATCTTCAACCAATTAAAAACAATCGTTTCTCAATTTCACTGCAGGAAAAATATATTTTGTAAGATTACACAGCTCAGTAACACTTAAAGTATTTAACAAATCTAATAATATGTACACGGGTGGCCTTTTCAAAAATAACGCTTGACAAGATGTCTTTGAAATTCTTAAAACAATTTATTTATTTACTTTATATTTTTCCCTTTATTTTTCTGTATTTTATAATGTTTCTTTTGATCGTTTGACTCTGGATGTGGCTCGGTAATTGTGCATCCAACTTTCTGTCATTTCGCTTTGTACATTTTTGATGCGGATTGGTTAGGAGGTGCGATTCGGACGCATGAGGTTTTTAAAGTATTGTTTTAATTTTGTATACCCTTGTATTTATATTTTACTTACTCTGTACTTATTCTGTTTTACTATACAGTATGTACTATCAACTATAAAACATTTCTTGTTGACGTCTTTGTCAGCTTTTATTTTCATTTTTGTTTGAATGTTTTGAGATGGTTGTGTTTTTTGTCTGTGATGTATGTTTACACAGTTTTGCTTGCTGGGTCCCATTATCATTGTCATGTTAACAAATTATGTTTGTTTGGGTTGCTCATCCAAATTTGTCAATAGAGCGGAACTATAAACATCTGTCATGCAAGTGAGAGGTTAAGCTAGCTATAAACCAGGTTTAAGTTTGATTTTGTCAGGTTTTATAGACTACCCCCTTTTTGAAATTACCTTGGAGCTCGGTTCTTCTGTAAAATTTCAATAACCCAGCCACTTTCTATATTGTGCCTGTCCGAAGTAAAAGGATTGTAATTCAGTGTCATATGTGTTTTGTCATAAATCGGGCTTTTGGATTTTTCGTTTGAATTGTTTTACATTTTGTCATTTTGAGCCTTTTACAGCTGACAATACGGTTTTAGTTTTACTCAATGTTTAAGGCCGTACGATGGCCTACAGTTGCTTTAATCCACGCCGTTTAAGCTATGGTTGATAGTTATCTCTCTGGCAATAATACCACATCTCCATATTTTGTATCATATACCCATGTAATAACCAACAAATTAAACAGCTAGAGAGTGACATATCTTTCTTGCAGCTTAATGAACCGTGCATTAAGGAATGCTGTGTAGTCATTGGTCAGGTCGTTGTCTCTTTGACACATTCTCCATTTCCCTTCTCAATTTTATTAAAATATTTTATTGAGAAAAAAGTAAAGGTTAAATACTTTATTCCCTTGACAACTTAGTTAGAATAAAAATTAATTTAAAACTATAAGTTTACATATTATTACCATCTAATACCGCCAATCTTCTAGATAAACGTGAGCAAATGTGGTTACGCAGATAAAACAAATATAACGATGATGAAAAAAATTGAGAAGATCATGCTACTGATATGTCTGTGCTGCTTGTCTTCATCATTTTATCTATCCTTCGTTGTACCTCTGATATTCTTTGGTCAACTAAAAACATGCTGGGATATCTATTTACATATAAATTAGTCCTTGGTTTTATTGAAACAGTTAGTTTTTGTCTTCTTTCGCGACTGTCTTCTTGTGTGGTATGCTCAGAATTCTTGGTTTCATAATTTTGCAACGTATTTCTCTGCATTTGTTCAATGGTTTTGGTATTCCGTCTGTCTTCAGTGTTCAGGTCTCGAGAACCTCCTTCGATTTTTTGTGTTTTTCCAAAGCGTAGTTTTGTTTTAGTGTCCTTTTCTAGTTCTTTAATTTTAGTTTTTAGTGACACTTTTGTACTGACTGCCCCCGTCCCCATCTCAAGTGGTTTGACTTGAGTTTTATCTACCAGAAGTACATTTTTAGTTGTTGGTAGGTCCGGTACAGAATCATTTGTTGACTTTTTGTCTGTATTCTCCTTGTTTTTACTCTCGCTTTCGTCGTCTCCCGTCCTTTTCGGTTTTTTAATTGTAGAAAATAGAAACTCGTAACGTTCTTTCTGATCGTTACTCTTTGAAATTTGCCCTTCCTTCATTTTTGAATATTGATTGTTCATTTTTGCATTTTCAGACTTCTCGTTATTTTTATCACTCTTCGGTTCTATTCCTTTCGTTCTTGTTTTATTGTTTTCTGAAGACTTGTTTTCAAAATGAACAGTTTTATTTGTTATATCATCTTTCGAGATTGAGAGAGGCTTAATGCCCATAATTTCCTCAACTTCCGGTTGTCTGAGGTCAAAACGTTTTGGAATCAGCGGATCAGATATTGTGATAATGTGTTTCCTCTCTTGTAAACGTTTTAATGAGCTGAAATTACCAGAATGTGTTTGAGCTATATTTGGTTTGATTTGTCCAAGTTTTGATGTTTGGATTCGATGTACATTGTCTGTACGGACGGCATGATTGTATTTATGAATTATGTTTTCATCTAATTTCGTTGACTTTTCTGCAATATCTTCTGGTTTTGTTGATTGTGATTTATGTTCAAATTCTCCCACGAGATTCTTTGTTTTTTTAATGGATGTATTTTGATCGGAAGGATTGTTTATTTTGTTATCTTTACGGAGATTGTTTTTATCATTACCACTTTTCTGTCTTGGTTTTTCTTTATCTTCTTGTGTTTTACCAAACTCCGCACCGTTTGTAACGCTATCGGCTTTGTTCAGAGGAGAATTTGTACTGACATCCATATCTGTTTTTCTTAAGATATTTGAAATTGTTTGTTTTACTGCATAACTATTCTTTTGAGGAACATAAAAACGTTGAAACCGTTCTGAGTCGGTACGTCGCACTATATTTGTCTGTGAAGAAAATCGTTTTGGTTTTACTACGGGTTTAGTGATACGGTGGTTTTTTATGCCTTGTCTATGTGTAATGTTCTTTTTGCCTACTTCAAGTAAAATATGATCTTCTTCTTTTACAGTTGACAATGTCGGCTTGACAGTGGGATTATGTATTGCCTTGTTTCCCATGTTTTTAAACAGTTTATCTTTTCCACTTGGATATGTCTTGTTTTCCCATTCTATCCCAAACTTTCGTTGAGATTTATAAACTTTATTGCCTTCCCCTTGTTTTACTTTTTGAACTGACTGTTTTTTCTTCTCAACTGTCTTTCGTCCAATTTCCCAAAGTTTTCTACTAGATACTTTCTTTCTACTTTCAATTCGTCTTGCAGCCATCAGTTTTTGTTGCCAAATCATTCGCTCTTGGACAATCTTCTTCTCAATGTAGGATATTCTGCGTTCGGCCTTTACAATATCTTTATTTCTTTCCTGTTCAGCAGTTGTAAATCTGCGCATAAACAGCTTCCGGTCTTCCTCGTGTTTCTTTGCTATTGTATTAATTCGCTTTCTCGTCTCCCCTCTTGACTTTTCCGATCTTTTTTCGATATTCTCTATGTTTTTGGCAATTATTTTTTATTCCTTTTTAATGTTTTCGTCCATCTGCCTAGTGCTTCTACTAGACAAAGAAGAACTAAGTTTTTTTCTTTCCTCAATTTTTCTTTCTCTTAACTTTAATTTTTTCGTGTTTGCTATTTTCTCTTTTTCGATATTTTTAACATACATCTCCATCAGTTCTTCATCTTTTTTCATTCTCTCCCTCTCTTGTTCTTTCCATGCATTTTCTTTTTTGTCAGCAGTTTCTCTTTTGTGTAGTTCCTCTTGCTTGATATTCCAGGCTATACAAGCTTGGAAAATTTGTCGTTCCTTCTCCGTCTGTTTTTTGCGCTCTTCAATTTTCTTTCGATACAAAATGTCAACGGCATTACCCATGGCAATTTCTCTATCCAGTCCATTTCTTTGTCATTATGATTAGTATGTTGTTGTTCCCGGTGTGTTCATCTGCTGAAAAGAAAATATTATAAAAATATAATTCATTTCCCTTTTTTGGTTTAGAAATATACTGTGAATATATATCTATCGCTCATTCTCTAATAATCTCCGACAAATTACAATCCATACTGCACACGTACGTATCTGTAATTACCAAATCCGAATCAAATTTAACATAAAATGCACATGTTATTTATGCATATACTAGCAGAATGTATTGTAAAACATGTCATATAAAATATGAGATCTAAATGTGTGTGCTACAAAAATACATTGACCTTAATGTCTTAGCTCTTTCAAATCATTTGACCTCTCTGATTGTGTATATATACGTAAATAAATATGTTTTTCATAATAACGAAGATTTAACCAAATAAGATCAAAGACCTTGATTCCTTTAAAATTTAAAACGAAATGCATCTCAGCCTCTTTGTCATCATTTAAAAATCTATAGCGCAGTGGAGATATGAGGGTCTTGATGGGATCCCTAGTTTCTTTATTCTTTAATGTTGAGTCCTTCCTTTAATCTGCACTGTTTGACCATAATCCCTATCATTTAAACCCCATATAAACCCTCAGATATATACTGATCGTTTGGTTGTCCTCAATTTAAATCTGAATTGTTTTCTAAACAAAAATAATTATTTCTGTTCAAAGTTTCACAAAATCTTCAGTACTTGATAATATTATGCAGCTTTTATATCAGTTCTTTGTCTACATAATGATAAAGATATCCGTAAAGAAATATGTATTTCGACATAAAGACAGCGTTTGTGGTTTTTTTTTTTTTTTTTGGGGGGGGGGGGGAGAGAGGGTTATCGTATAAAACCTTAAATTGATTGCTAAGAATTTATACAATTGATTAACAGATTACTTGTTTTGAAACCAACAATTTTTCTATTTCTTCTGGCTTAATATTACGCAACAATCGCGTCAAAATAGATTCCAATTTTTTTACATACATGTACATTTACTTTTTGTTTAGGGGACAGCTGAAGCCCGCCTCAGGGTGCGGGATTTTCTCGCTGTGTTGAAGACCCATTGGTGGCCTTCGGCTGTTTTCTGCTCTTTGGTCGGGTTTTTGTCTCTGACACATTCCCCATTTCCATTTTCAATTTTACTTAATTCTTGATTTCATATTTACATAGATAGTAGGAGCAATTTCATATCAGCTTTGAATGTGCAATTTTTTTTTTTTTTTTGTATAGTGTTTTCATTTTTTAAGCTTTATAGAACAAAGAAAATGTGTTTTGTTTACATTTTTAAAAAATGCGTTATATTTTTAGATTTAAAAAATGCTATATTTTAATATTAAAGAAAATGCTATATTTTGATATTTGAAAAATATTTTTATAGATCTTTTACATCAATGAAATATTTTTTCTTACCATATTTCCACAAGTTCATAATCTTCTCCCGTATGATGACAATTGCATGTAATTATGCATATGATATTTTTTTCGGCCATATTGTAAACAAAACAAATTTAAACAATAGTTGAACATAACTGCTTACTCACCCTAAACAATCAAGAGAAACTTTAAATCAAAATAATTGAGATAATGTGTAAAATATGCTGTTTAAAATATTGTTAATAATACATAAATATTCGTGTTTACATTGCAGTATTTGACTTACTGCTATTGTTATCTTTGAAATAATTGTGTTTTGTTCATAAAATCTTCATAAAATAGAAGATCATTGGTAACTAGACACTTAAATTTTATAATAACTGTTTTTATGACTTTGATAATGTGTCTTCAAAATGGTGTATGTATAATTAAGAACAGAGAAGTTATATATCTGTCTTCATGCGATCATAAAATTAATTTTAAAATCTGCAAAATATTCTTATGGAACAATTCCTGTAGATATATTGTTGGGACTGATGTTTTCAAATAAAATCAGACGGTTACGTGTATAGGCTTTAAAGAAAATGCGCGATCACAAAAGAACATAATTGCAGGTAATTCGGCTGCATAAGTTTATAGACGTACAAATTATTTCTTATATTAAAGTTTTGTCTCGAAACTTCAAATTCTTTATAGTTTTATATCGAGCGTAATGTGTACAAACTCTCATCAGCGAATACGAGTACATTTGATAGACCAACTGCCTCAAACCCGATCTGTAAGGCCCTTTGGTTTTTATACTCTCAAACAATTGTTTTACACTAGTCATTTTGGTACCCTTTATAGCTTGCTGTTCGGTGTGAGACAAGGCTCCGTGTTGAATGCTGTACTTTGACCTATAATTGTTAACTTTTTATACATTGTGACTTGAATGGAGAGTTGTCTCATTGGCACTCATACCACATCTTCTTATTTATATTTAGTATATTTCTTTCCAAATTTTGGTCTCCAACTTACCTGATGCATGTTGTTCTATAATCACGTGATGTGTGATAAACTCAGAACTGAAAACCAGTGGGAACGTCTTCTCTAGATCTGCTAGGCTACCCTGACATAGTTTAGAAAGTTTAGCAAAGCACCTTGAAACAGATTCTCTGTTTTAATACCACTTCATCCGCTGTTGCACTACCACTTCTAGAGGTTATAAACATTCAATTAACGGCAGTGTTTCGGTATTTTTTATGATCCTGAGGATAATTTGGTTTGAAGGTTCCCAATTCATTAAATTTCGCGATGGTGTTAGAGCTAAGGCGATAAAATTCATGCAAAAATGACACAAAACTCTTCTTTTGAAGCCCTTTCGGGAATTATCAAAGAGTAATCGCTAAAAAAAATTATGTTCTTTTACGAGAATAGAGCATGACTCTCACCCAACAGGTAAAATTGAATTTAAAGTCCATATCATTGCTGTATTTTCAATTTCAAGCTTGTAGAAATATGTTTTTGACGATGTTATTTGGTACTGAATAATTTCTACACATATAAAACAACCCTAATTTTATTTATACCAATTTATTTGAAACTTTCAGGTCGTAGAATATGTAAAACCACAAGACACTCAGAGGTCAACAATAGACAATAGACACGTGACTGTGCATTACGTCAAACTCTAAATCATCCGAGTCTAGGAAAGACGATATAATTTGCTTATACATTGTATATCTTTGAATCCGGTGCCCCTTTTCCCGAATGTGACTTACCGAATTTGACTTATTACCGGATTTGTACTAATATGAGCAACACGACGGGTGCCACATGTGGAGCAGGATCTGCTTACCCTTCCGGAGCACCTGAGATCACCCCCAGTTTTTGGCGGGGTTCGTGTTGCTCAGTCTTTAGTTTTCTATGTTGTGTTTTGTGTTCTATTTTTTGTCTGTTGGTCTTTTTCTTTTTTTAGTAACGGCGTTGTCAGTTTATTTTCGACTTATGAGTTTGAATGTCCCTCTGGTATCTTTCGCCTCTTTTTTTGACTTTGCATGAAATATAATTCACAAATAACAATCGAATATTATCCGTTACTAAACTGTACATCTTCGCATACATTGTTTTGTTAATGCTTTGTTTTCTTAGACACTATGCGTAAAACAATTTGTCCTGCATGGGACCGCACCTTTTTTTTCTCTTCAAATGCCATGGCAAACTCCCCGGCAGTTCCAGCTCCGATCCGCATACTACTCTACACATTGATGGAGTAAAGGAAAATAGTTCCGGAACGGAAACGATCACTGTACGGAGTTTGATGCCATGGAATAGTATAACAAAACATTACAAAAAGACAAACAAAATTAACAAAATATGACACCGAAAATTAAGATTAAGCAATGCTAGACCACATACGATGATTTAATGATTGAATACAGAAATCTAAACTTCAAAAATTGTGCCAATTCATTAGAATTATAAATGACAAACTGGATTCTCTCTGATGATAACCTGTCGGCTATACTGATCATACCGTTGTGAAATAACTCATATTTAATGCTTCCTTAACAAATGTACAATGCAATGTAATGTAAAAAAGAAAATCAGTATAAAAATATAGAAGTGTCTTAACAGTGTCTTGGTTAATTTTCTTCGAGTCTATATTATCAGCATGTTGATATGGGGATAACTACTATATATACACATAAAAGGTTAAATTGTATTATGCAAAGTCTTGACAATCAGCATGGTTGATTTAGGAATAACTTATATGCATACAGTGTCACATACAATGATTAATGGTATGCTGTGTAATCTAGAAACGTAATTATTTCAGTTTAATTTGATACTGTGACATTTTGTCTTAAATCTTCAGTATCATCTTGTATGCTTCCACTATGTAAAGACTTCTCAGTTGCTGTAACACTTAAATCGCCATAATTCTTTTCCTTTTTCTTTCTTGATTTTCCTCCCTCCGTTTTAACCTTACCTATCAGCCCACGTTTTGGTATTTTAGGAAGCATTAAGGTACGTTGTATGTTTTGAGTACTAACATTTTCCATGACTCTTGCCTGGTCCTTCACGTTCTTAACGATGTTCTGATTATGTAATACTTCTTGGTCACGTGATTGTTCAAATGTATCAGTTGATCTGGGTTCGCAATCTAAGGACTGGACGGATCTCTTAAAAACTTCCTTTTTCAATCCTTCTATCTTTTGGACATGTAAAAGCCAAGCTTTTCTTTCGTTATATTTGCGTTTTTCAATTTCTTGAAAACGTTTTTGTGACGCTTCGAACTCCTCTTCTCTTTTGTGTTCCAACTCTTGCATACGCTGTAGAAAGACTTCCTGTTCTCGTTGTTTCTTCTCTTCGAGGTGACTAACTCTGGTTTTTAATTTTTCAACGTTCTTCTGTTTTTGTTTCTCGATTTCAAGAATTCTTTGTTGTAAAGCATCATTTTCTATTTGGAATTCTTTATCCTTTCTTTGTAGCATTCGACAAAAAGCAAAATTGTTTGCTCTTCGTCTCTTCTCAAATTCAACCATTCTTCTTTTGAGCATTAAATTATCAGTCTTTTTCTTTTTCTCTATTTTTCTGATTTGTGTTTGAATTTCGTCCCTATAACTTTGTTCTAGTTCCCTTTCGTCATTTTTTCTTGTCAACTTCCGTTCCAATAGTCTTTGCCACTGAATTTCTTCCATTCGGATATGCGAAGTGATTGGTTCAAGATTGCGTATTGTCCCGACTATCCGACTATTTTGTTGTTCAAATAATTCATTCTTCCAAGTAATAGGCAATATTCTATTATCAGTGTAAGTATTTTCTTGATCATCATTTTTGACACGAATCATATCCTTCTCTGTCAGATGATTTTCTGTATGTTTCCTCCCTTTATCGCGCGGGTCTTTCCCTTGTACGCCAACAGCTGCTATTACAGAGCCACTATATACCGAATCCTTTCCGTCTTGATTGTCCTTCTCGTTTATGTTCTCCTTAATTTCTTCATCTTTGACGTTCTTATTTTCGTCTTTTCTTCCCGCCACTTGATGAGCTCCATTTGCAGAGCCACTATATACCAAATCGTTTCTTTCTTGATTATTCTTTTTATTTATGTTTTCTTTCAGTTCCTCATTTTTATCATTGGTATTTTCGTCTTTTCGTCCTGCCTGTTGGTGTCCAGATTTCGACTCATCTATACTCGCGTTTGTTGACTTGATAGCATTCTCTTGGTTTGTAATATCGTCGTTCAAATGCATTGAACTAACTTCCTTATCACGTGCTTCTTCTTTCTTTCCATTTTCCACGTTTCTTGTTTCTCTTTGATCGCTCATTTTGTTTACATAATGTCTTTCATATCATTCGGTTAAATAATGTGTATCCCCTGGATAAAATAAGTAATTTGTTAATAAATTCGCTACATTCACTAAGATAGGATTCGTTTAATTTGAAAATACATTTAGTTTTATGTATTGTCTTTATATAGTTTGTTTTCAAATCAGTTTGTCTGATGCTACTTGTTGTTTACGGGAAAATGACATTTGTATCTACCTTTTTAATATACTATTAGCATGTGTCTAGCTCAGGTTGTCCTAAATATACATGAAATATTTGCCACTGGCCAATAAGCCAACAACAAAAATGTATCTTGCCAGTGCTTGTCCATAATTATGTTAATTATGTTGATGATTTTGTTATTAAAGGAATTTGGCTTTGATGAAGATATTTTTCACAGGGGCTTCGGGCATAGACCTCCTTCTTCTGATGTTTTTACATTTAAGATTTTCTTATTAAATTTTCTTTAATATGTCTACTCACTGTCCTTTGTTTTATGTCGTCTTGATCTTATCTATACACTCTTACTATATCTGTAGTTTATACGTGCTGTCACTCTACTTTTATTTTCCAGGATTAGAGGAGCATTACGTATAAACCACGGTTATTGTAAGATTGCACGGATATGAGCAAAAACAAGTATAGTAAGAGGAAATAAGTTTAAATATAAAGAAAATTAAATAAGAGTTAACTTAAACAGAAACAACAACAAAAAAGTGGAAATTTTAAGAGTGGTCGATATCCCAAGCGCATGTGATCTTGGGAAGTCACTGTTAAACTTTTCTACACTCGGAACGATTGAGAGGTTGAAATATTATGTAGACACTTGCCTCTTAATGGAGAATCTTTATTGACTTCAATGTCTTTCATTTCTTGTTTGTATCGTTGGGATGCTGTCTAATTGACGTATGTACATCATATCTCCATGTTCATTTGATATCATTTCAAATGTCATTTTGTAAAACTGTAACTGTAAAAGTTTGTTTAATAACTTGTATTGTACCAGATTCGAAAACAAAGAGATTGTTCAAAGTGTATTTCCCTTATCCAAAAACACATTTGATAAATTTTGATAAATTTCTAATAAACGAATAAAGAACTAAACTCGGGAAACGAATAGAAAGACATATAGTTTATTATCATATTATCATCATAAATAACAACTGCTTACCTCTTAAATCAAGTCCATATTTATATAGTCTTTGATAAGATTCATTGATAGTGAAAATATTCAACACAAAGCTACAATGATTAAATTTTGTCATACATTTCGTAACATAAGCAACATAATTTCATGTATAATTGAATTGCATGAATAATGAATTTTCGAATCGATCTTACAATTATAATAGGGTATAATTACAAAAACCAATAACTTTACATAGTCAAAAAGACAATTATAGTTTAAATTAAAAAAACAATTGTTTTCAGCAATTAAAGCAATCTGAAACTAAATATTATATATTTGTCGAATATTGTTTTTAAATAAAAGCACTTATAACTGACTAGATATTTCAAAAGTAATTTTGAGTCTTCAACATATTTTCCTCCATACTATTGTGTCCATGACTATTCTATTCAGGTGTGCTTGAGACCAAAGGTTGTATAAATCAATAGCCGTTTGCTTTACGTCAAGTGACAAGTATTACACGCATATTATGGACGACAATGCATTCACTAATAAATCGAAAGTATAAATTCTGCAAAAGCGTTCAAGTTAGAAGAAAGATTGGCCATTACAATAAGAAGGACCGTGACTATTTCTGGAGACGGATTCATCCAAAAAAGAAAAACAAAGATTTTCCAGTTTTTTTATTTCGGTTTGATGGTACTTTTCATATTATGAGTGGTCATTTTATCATTTTCATTTTGACCTTGATCACACTTATATGTCTCTGCCATGTTGCGTGTCCATCTTTGTTTTTCTTTTCTTTTTCTGAAAGTTTCCTTTGAAAAGCATCTTTTTCCTCCCTCATTTTTCTCTCTATTTGCAAAATTCTTTGTTCAGAGTTATATCTATTTTCCTGTTGTTTTTGTTCAATGTCTTGTATTTTTCTGTATAAACTGTGCCTTTCTGCAACTTTTCGACTTTCGATTTGTTCCAGTTTTTTTCGTGTTATTTCCCTGAAATACGTAATATAAGGTATTTAAAGTATTTGTTACTTTTTTATCTTAATGTATAGGAGTATACACAATTTGAATACTTTTTTCCCCAAGTCTTCTCGAAATGGGGTGTTAAATCGGAGGATTCGTGTTGTGAGAGTGTCACCTTCCTAGACGTTAAGGGACCTCAGTGGCCTAGTGGTCTAAGTCGTTCATATCCTTAAGCCATACATAGCCTGTCAACATTACATGTATCGAGTCAATTACCAATCCTCCATTGTGTGATACCTGATCACTTGATATAACTTAACAACGCAATTTATAAGACTAACACATCGCTTGTCACATGTGAAGCAGGATCTGAAGTGGGGTTGCTCAGTCTTTAGTTTTCTATGTTGTGTTGTGCAGAGTGCTTTTTGTCTTTTGGTAGTTTTTCGTTTTTTTGCTATGGCTTTGTTAATATAAAAAAGAAGATGTGGTATGATTGCCAATGAGACAACTCTCCACAAGAGACCAAATGACACAGAAATTAACAACTATAGGTCACCGTACGGCCTTCAACAGTGAGCAAAGCCCATACCGCATGTAAGTTTATCTTCGAATTATAAGTTTGAATATCCATTTATTATCTCATGCCTCTCTTTTAATTAACCGATTCATTGTTTTATTTTTTCGATTCCTGAATAAACAAGAAATATTTGTCCCTGAACGTTATGCACGAAACTTGCAATCGCAATCGTCTCAGAAAATTAATATACCAATGATCATTAGTTCTTCAAAGGAATAGCATTTGATCATATACTTTTGTAAGATCGCCGTATGATTTAATATTGTTTTTCATACACGTTTTTATCAAATCATAAACTATAATACGATGAAGTAATCATGGTAAATAAATCTGACCTTTTTTTCTGCTTGACATTTTCAATATCTTCCAGTTTTTGGTAGAAGTTCCCTCTGTTAGTATGTGCTTGTTGCAATGCAATCGCAGGTAATTTGTCCGTTTTCCTGTCGGTTATATCCGTAAGTGGTCGGTAATTGTCGGAACGAGAAGTGTTTGATTCTAAAGGAGGTAACGTCTGTGCGCTTTGCCTATATAACACATTTTGTCTCTTAATCTTTTCCATCTTTTTTATCCGTCGTTGGCCGGACAACCTCCTTTTTCAAATGGTGTATTTTGTCAACCTCCTTAGCTACTTTGTGATATTCTATTCGGTCGTCAGTTGATAACGTGTCTCTCTCGGTACTAACGCTGGATTCTGACGAATGGTGAGAATCGGCAACATGATGTTTAAGACTTTCAAGTCTACCTTTCCATGCACACATAGAAGACTCGCATCGTACATATTTGCTCTCTATTTTATTTCTCAAACCAGTATTATCACTGTACGTAGCCTGTGCTCCACAGGTAGGGCACGTTTTGTTCCCCCGTCTAGTCCATTCTTTGACGCATGACAAACAATATACATGTCCGTTACAACATTGTTGGGGTTGATTCAAAATTAATCGACTGAAAATAAACAAAATGTATACAAGTTATGCTATTAAAAAAAAACTTCATAGATTTTCATTTAACTTTCCTTAAAAAAATATTATAAGGCTTAGTTTAATTTTGTGTTGTTGTATTTATTTATATATTAATAAATTATTTTGTGAAAACTTCTTCCAAAATCAAGGAAAATAGAAAAACAATCACCTTTTTTTGTTTACTCTTTTTTCATTTTTTTTTTTTTTTTTTTTTACAATAATGGCATTGATACAAATTCAGAACCACGAATGTCAGTATTTTGCCAAAATTAACGCATTTCTTCAATTTTTTTTGTATTTTTCTTTCAAAAACAAATTGATTTATTTGTTTAAGGATGTCCTTCGATACGAAATTTCAGACAAAAGACATGTAATTTTATAAAAAGTATATTTAATATGTTTTCAACATTACTGTAAAACGCTATTGAACAGTTTCATTTCATGGACATATGCCAAATAGTTGACACTTTTTTCAGTGTATTTTAAAGACTCTTTACGATTCAAAATCTAGTCGGTCACACAAACTTGTTTATTCTAACCCTGCAAGTGAAACAAATAATGAGTATATTGGCCCTATCTCTTTGTACTGCAATTTTTTATCATTGTAAACTTACTCAAACAAAGCAGATTACAATGGATTCTCTAGATTTGTTTGGATATTACATAAAACATTAAACGTATTTGCTTGTCTCGTCCGTTCGTTTTTCGATGACAGGAGAAGGCTTATATAAAATAAACTAGTACTTAGATATATCTTTAAAATTTAACACGCTGTTTAATTAAAAAAAAAACAACAACAAAGCCACCGAGAGCGCTTTGCAATTTCATAAGTTGTCTGTCTTTACGCGTTTTCGTGCAATAAAAGTAAAAGGTAGATCATTATATGACAACATATTTCAATTTTTTATCCTTTTATCTTCTTGTGATTCGGTACTGAGGATTTATTTACTTATATTCGTTGTTAATTAACGATAGATAAAAAACGGTATATTGTAACCTAAGGAAGCTCTGGAGTGCCACCCAAAATAAGATTACAACTTGTGCGCACAAGGTACTAACTTGTGCGTATGGGTTGAACAGGTTGTTTTCGTCGCATAATTAAATACTAGTAAACACCTCAGGTCACTGGATACATTTATTGTGTAGTGATACATATAAAGATACAAGATAATTAGTTGAAAGAAAGATAACTCTATTTATTTTAAGATGGCAATACTCCAAATACTGTACTTGAATTAAAATTTCCTACTGGAAACTGTGGTCTGTTTTCCATATTTTACTTATAAAGATATGTAATAAAAAATGTAAATGATGAAAAAAATATTTTTCTTATCAAAAATTGTACATCTCAAAATTCAACATTTATTTATGTCTACCAAATTTTCTTCTGATATAACAATAAGGAGATGTGATATGCTTGCCAATGAGACAATTGTCCACCAGAGTTTAAATGAAGTGCATGTAAGCAATTATAGGCCTTTAACAATGAAAACAACCCATACCGTATACATGAAAAATATGAAACAATACAATAATATGGTGGAGAGTTGTCTCATTGGCATTTATATCACATCTTCTTACTTTTGTAAACGAGAAATCTAACGAACTAATTTATAACAAAACAATTCACTAAAACCAAATATGGCAGACATGATCAAACGACAACCACTGAACTACAGGCACCTGACTTGGGACAAACACACAAAAAATATGGCGGGGTTAAATATGTTTGTGAGCGCTCATCCTTCTCCCTACCCTGGGACAGTTGTGTAACAGCACAACATAAAACAAACTGTAAAAATCAGTTGCAATTGGTCTAACTCAAAAGAAGGTACGATAAACAAAAACAATTTATACAAAGCACCGAAATAAGAGTACTAGCTGTTACTGAAAGCTAGTTAAAAGCCAATTACAATTACTTAATAAATAATGTTTACCAGACTAAAGTACAATCAGTATACATGGTTTCTCGTGTGGTGTGTAAAGGTTATGAATGGATCTTTATAGATGAGTTTTAGTTTCCGAATTCAAGTCCAAATTCAAATCTTTTTACATATTATATCACAAGAAAAAAAAAACTATTAATCTATTACTTGTTTATTTTACAATCATGATAACTACTTATTATGTTTTCATAAAGATTGATATTTTGTATGAATACGTTTTACTGTGATAAAAGTTAAAAAAAAAAAAAAAGGAGGTTCGATCCAAATATAAAACTCGTGACATCCACTAGTCCAACAAGTTTGTGAATGAATTCAATAAACTAATTTAAAAAGCCGTCATCAAATTCCCAATCGGACAAAAACTTAAATAACGTCATTCGATGATTTCCCCTAAGATTTTGTGACATGTGGCAAGGTTATATTGAGAATACGTCAATACCTCCCTTTTACCTAGTGAACATCAGAATTTAGAAATGGTAAAACCAAATATAAAAATCCTAAATCATCAATGATATTCATATTTACTAACGACAAAATACCTAAAAGTAAAACATTAGATACACATAAAATAATAAGAAATATAACATTAAGTGGTTTTGCATTTTGTATCGGGTGAAAGAGAAAACGTCATGCACCCACATAGGATGGTTGAAAACCTTAGATTAGACCCTCTAAAAATGTTGTTATTTAAAGAGAACATAAAACCGCAAAGCTCCTTCTTTTTACAATATAAATCTCTGTTCGTTTATACAGACAAAGGCATGTTTTTACTTTAAACTCTAATATCGACTGCAGTACTTTTCACTTTGCATGCATGACGTCATAAACTGTAGGATACAACTATTTGGTGCTTAGTTTAACATTTTAATTTTTAATAATATTAATGTTCTGTTTATTGTTTTGTTATTTATCAGACCGTTGTTTTTTTTCTCGCTTGAATTGTTTCTCATTTTGTTATGTCAATCTCAATGAATTGGTAGAATCTATAGTTTAAGCACATAGGATGCCTAAATCAAAACAGGGTTTGCTTTTATCAGAAAATTGTTGCAAGTAAATACCGCATCAAATTAAAAATCAGGCTTTAATGTTAAGGAAGATACAGAGTTATTTTTTACCCCGCCATATTAACCCCTTTTTGTCCTGGTAATTGCAAACGTATGTTCACTCTGCGTAAAACAATGCAACCCGGAAGCATCATAATCAATCTGAACCAAAACAATTCATGAAAATTGAACCTTAAATATGAATAAAAGTTGAAGTGTGAGTCCTTTTAAAAAAAAAAGAAGATATTGTATGATTGTCAATAAAAACAACTATTTACCAGACACCAATATGTCGTGGATGTAGGCAATTATGGGTTAAAGAACGGCCTTCTACAATGAGAAAATCCGTACCGTATAGTCAGCTATAATAAGTCTCAACATGACAAAACGTTGAAAAAATTATAACGAGAAAACCAAAGGCATGATTTATGATAAAACAGTTAAAGAAAACAAATATGACTGCCGACAACGAAAACCCCTGTATCACAGGTTTCCGACTTGAGACAAGAACATACGGAATATGTTGGGGTTAAACATGTTTGCCGGTGCTCAATCTTCCCCCTAATCTACGAACGTTCATTTGTGTCAGCGAAAATAACTATGTTAACAAGACTTGGATTTAGTTTTTCCTGAAAAATCCAAAGTTCTAAGCTTTACTTATACGTTTGTTCACTTCTGAATTAAATCTGTATTATATAAATTATGTTATATTTGTTCTGTCATTTTATTTGGAAAACCACTTCAGCATTCAGCATCAAGCAACTAACATCGAAAGGAATTAAAAATGAAAAGGTAGTTTTTCCGAAGGACGTCAAAGAAAATAGACACAAAACCTAAACAATCGAAATTTTGATAATTGCGTAGTGATTCCAATTTTACTCCTTGTGTATAGATGTATCTAGGAATAAACAAAAGTAAATCTGAAAAAAATCATATCATATTCATTAAAGGCAGATTTAGGGGGCAGGGGGCTCGGAATCCCCCTTATGGAGCTACATATATGATAAACGCAAGTATAACTCCAAACGTTGGCTTGCCAGGGGCTCCAACTTTTTCAAAATTATTGATCCGCACCTGTACTTATATTAATTTTGATACAGAATAACGAGACTTCAGGTGTTAGGGTATGCTTATAACTGCATAAAAATCTGAAAAAAAACAAAAAAACACATGTACCATTATAAAAATTAGTTTCAAAAACCATTTTTCGCCTAATTTTGGTTATTTTCCAGGAACGGATCGATCCATAATCTTTTTATTTTATCAGCATTAAATCTTCTAAAACTAAAGTTATCATTAACAAAGATAGACAGATAACGACCACAACATACCATGACCTTAAGAGGAGAGCCTAGCTGTTTATTATTATCAAAGTATGTGTTAGCTGACGTATAAAAACATGATGCCGTGCAATGCACGTCCGTATGTATTTGGTCTGACCTTATGCATATAAATTTCCCTTGATGGTTGAGATCGCACATCTTCGATATAATTACCAAATGTACCTTTGGATATGATGAAGAAAAGCAATGAATTAACTTACATTTATATAAAAACGAGTTTGTGCGTTAAGGATCAAAATAAAAGATAATAAAAGTTATTTTTTTATTTATGATGCAAAAAACTAAAAAAAAAAATAAACAGATTTGCTTACATACTGAAAAAATGACGTATGTTTTTTTTTCTTCAAATGTTTAGAATTGTAGACTCATTTTACGAAAAAAATCTGTTATAATAAACAAACAGTTAAAGTATACAAACTAAAGTCGATATACGTCAGCAAAACCAAATTTATTTTGAGACTAGTGTTTGTGATATTCCTGATAGCAGCAAATTGTAGAAAAATAACAAAATATTTGAGGTTATCGTACGTTGATCTAATATTTCGCGGATGGAATGTATCCAAAATATCCTCCGGTCACATTGCTTAATGTGAATAGATTTGTATCAATAATCCGATCATTATTTGTCATTATATAGTAAACATTGACATCAAAGGGTACGTATTGTTTAATTTCATAGTTACTTTTTTTCTAATATGCATATACAGAACGTGTAAACACAATTTAGCAAGACTTTTTAATTTTTTGCGCACAAAAGTTATCAATTTCAAACAATGATAAGTCTTGTTTTAGACATTTAAATTTTTTAGATTTCTGGAGATTGATAAAGAAAATATTTTTTAGTTGACATGAAATGTTATTGATATGTTTATATATGTTCTGTAAATTTACTGTTACATAAAATCTTGAATTATTCGAGACGGTAAGTATTTTCTTTATACAGACATAGATTTCGTAAGCCGTATTAGGCACAGCTTTTTGAAATTTTCGAAAGTTTTTAATGCTTGTCAACTTTGTATTTGAATTGATCTTCTGACTGTTCTGAATCTAACGTCAATGGTAAGTCTGGTGTAGAGGAACGACGTAAAACATTGTAACTCTTTTTGACTCTTTTCACAAAAATTCTTACGATTAAATTGATCGTAAGTTATACTGAAATGTGTATGACTTACGAGTATTTTTACTCTTAAGATTTTTTTGTGAAAAGAGCCGCTGGTATCTTGGACCCGAGTTTTGTTTACGTTAAGAAGTGCCAGGTTTCTCATTTTGGATAGTAACTGCGTTTTGGGGGAATGGGGGTCCGAAATCAGAATCAGATGACAATAAAAGTAGACGGCATGTAAAGTGAAATGAAAAATGAAGAAAAATGTGTATTAAATAGAAAGCACATACACAAAAAAAATTGTTATGTAATTTGAAATTCCATCAAAAATAAAAAAACACCCGCTGTTTTGCGTTTCCAAATGACAACCCACAACAAAGTGTAAAGGCTGCAGTTTTCATTTTATAACCCCATAAAATAATTCAAAAGCATAATTTAAGGCTTAGGTAGTTCGACTACGCTTAGTAATGTTTATCAAACGTTTTAAGAAAAGACTAGAAATAAATGAAAACGTTATAATTTTTGTAATAAAATTGAGAATGGAAATGGGGTAGGTTTACTCGATTTACATGTCTCAAATCTAATAATTTTTTGTTAGCACAATAAAGTAATGAGTATTATACAATGTGTTTTTTACTGAAGAACAGCATATTGCTCTGACTTTTTAAGGTCTCTATAATGCTGAAATGTATGCACACATTGCTCTGACTGCTGGTGTCCTAGCAACCATCTTGATAATAACAGGAACATTCACTCCTTTTTGGACAGTAATATCTGATTCGGCTTGGTCACAATCTTTTGACTCATCATGGACAAATATTTCTATGACCTCAATAGGACTAGGACTTTGGTTCCAACAAATGTGCACCACTGATGGCTGTGGTACGTCATTTTATCCATCATACATGTACAACGTAAATGGTAAGTACTTAAACCTTTATCATAGACGATGGTTTGATTGTAAGAAATATGTAGGAAATGATACAATTACTAGTTTGTTGCAAATTCAGTTACCAGTATTACAGGTAATGTCAACACTTAAACCATTCCTTGCCTAAAATAGCACATGCCAAAAATAAAAAGACAAATGTTGTTTCACATGTCCCTTTTGGGTATTTCATGTGTAGATATAGCTTTTTTCGTTATCGGTTAATTGTTCATCATTGACTTTCAAATGTTGAATTTGAGCGTTACTGTTAAAGGTGGATAAAGAATAACGCTTCAGACATTCTATATGAATAAGCTATGCTAAGCCGCAAAACAATCTGAGACAAGTTCTATCTTCATTTTTTATATTCATTGTAGGGCTCTCAACCTTCTGTATACACCTGTACTGGAATTTTTTAAAATCCATCTTTATTCTTAGATTCTTGTTTGCTGAATGTCTAGCGGAAAATATTCCGTTCCTTTTCAACAAAAGGCATATATCATTGCTACATGATATATATTTAAGTTTACGGCGGCAAATATTACAATACACGTGGGTACGATTTAATCCCAAATTTTAGTAATCGTTGTTTGAGACCGTATAAAGATCCCTTTATATTAGTTTAAGGGTCAAACTATATTGTACAGATGCTATCTTATTGAGTTTCAACCCGAATCTCCTTTTCATATTCCCACAAATTTTCAGTATTGTATCTGTTTTAGTCATGGACATGACTGGGTTAACAGAGTTCCGAATGTATACCAGTTGCGGAATCCTTTTGAGCATTTCTGCATGCATCCTGTGTTTTCTTCATATCAAGGAAAAGAGTCCCAAACTGACAGGATTTGCAGCTTCGTTAATGTTCCTTTTTTCAGGTTTGTTTCTTTTTTTTTTTATTTAAACACACTCTTTATAATAATGTTTCTTCTATATTTTTTATTTCAAGCAAAATGTATTTCACATATAAGGAAAATAACGTTTGTTACCAGTAACTGTTTTGAGAAACTATATGTTTGTCGTGATTTTTGTTTGTTTTCTATGATTTTAAAAACAATGAATAGTTCAAAGTATTTTGTTATTGGAGAGTTTGAAACCATGATTTCTAGGGAATCGTAGGATGATTGTGTAACTTTTTATCCATACATTTCAGCAGTTCCAGGTGATATAATTGGCAATCGTCACTATTAATTTTATACTTTTTTTTAATATATTTATACATTTTCTATTATCGGAATAAATAGAGAATATCATATGGCTTTTTCAATATCCCACCAGTATCAACCCGAAACGCCAATATAATCCCAACAGCTCTGCTTGAGGGATTATATTGGTTGAGGGTTGATATAGGGTGTGATATTGAAAAAAGTCATATCATATACACTTTATTATATACTTCAAGATGTTTCCGCTGTAATCCGATGTTATACAGATTAGGGGTTTGGGATAGCCTTTACAAGCGTGACTGATATCGATTACGTGACGTCATAGAGTTTAAGGGTTTGATAAAGTTTTGGTTACCGGAACTGATATCGATATCATCACGGATGGTTGATACAGCGCGATTGTCATTGATTGTATTACACATACAGTTTACCTGTATTTACTACTAAGTATATAATAAAGTACCCAAAATGTATGTAGTTTCATTCCTCCAGTTATAAAATCATTTTTTTACGTACAATTTTAATAAAAAAAAAAGCTTCGTAAGTTTTGTGTATGGTTTATCTACCATATTTTTATCCATTGTAACGATCTCTTTATTATAATAAACAACGATGAAAATTTTGAATATTAATAAATATATCTGCAGGCATAATGATATGGTTACCAGCTGGAAAGATGATACACAGATATGTTCGGTTCGATACCAATCTTGACGAGGTTGGTATACCGGCTAATCCTCTTCAGTTCCCGTACTCCGCCATTATATGTGGCGTTGGTGGCATTATGAACGTATTCTGTATATTCCTCATTGCAAGCAGTGTTAAAAAGATGTGGAACTACACGTCAGAATTTAGACATAAGAGATTGGAGCTAAATACATTTATTTAATTGCAGACAGTTTAATTGCATTCCAAAGTACAGATCCCAAGCAAGAATAAATTAATGGCATACAGAAAACTTCTCGATTTTGTAATAGAGCGTGTTAAAAATTATTTACTGATACAGCTGTAAATTATTTTATAAGTAAAAACAACAATTTTTAATGTGTTTTACTGATATATCAAATAAAGTAAAAGTATGGGGTTTTTTTTTTATCAAAAAAGGTTTTCCTTTTGTTTTTTGTTTTTTAATTTGATTTGATTTGCCTTGCTTTGCTTGTTTTGTGTTGTGCTGTTTTTTGTTTTGTGTGTGATTTGTTTTTTTTTTTTTTTTTTTGCCGTAGGCAGTTTTTGCTTTTGGTAGATTTTGATTTTTTTACGGGGATTCGAAGGGGGGTCCGCTAGATATATAATAAGATTAGAAAAATACGACGAGATGTACTTTTCCACGACAGCAATCCAACAAAATAAAACCAATAAAAACTGTCAATCTAGGCGTTTTAGTAGAAAAGTGTAAGTTACTTATTTATAGCTGTCAAACTGTATCACGTTAAAACATAGTGTAAGTAAATTTAAAAGAGGATATCAATGATCTGCAACTAAGACCATATTTATCAAAATGAGTTCAACATTTGAAGATTTGTATTAATTTTTTGTGAAATAAAAATCAAGATAATTATTTATAACGGTTTCATGCTGTTATCGTGTATGTTCAGTTAAAAAAAACATAATTCTTAAGCACGAACTCTTCGCCGTGTGTTAATATAAAAGCTTTGTTGTAACTTTAATCATTTTATTATTTTAATATTTATTAAACGAAAATACACTGTTGAATCACCTGACATGGTACCTATCTATACATGGGCCCCCTCGTCATTTAAATTATTTGTGGAATTTCTTGTAATAAAGAGACAAAGACACCAGTGGGGTTACCAAAGACCATAAGTCGAAGAATATCAGAAACCAACGTGGTTAAAATGAAAAAAAAAAAAGGACGAACAAAAGTACACAAAACACTACATAAAAACTAAAAATGGAGCAGCACGAACCTTAAAAAAATCTAAGAAAAGGGTGCCTCTGTCAAATAATTAAAAATAGAATAAGAAGGATACAATTAATCTTCACCCTCATAATATTTTAACAACTTCCATATCATGGAACAAATCATTGCTAGCCTATATAATCATTGTGATTCAATTGTCATTATTGTGCTTCCTGGATTTGTTTCCCGGTCCACAACAATCGCAATGTCGGAAATCCCCTTTTCTTAAGTTTTTTTTATATTAAAATAAAAATCAGTTCATACTTACAAATTTGTTTTTAAATCTGCCGTCAAGCAAAGACAATAAAGTCAGCAAAAATTTCAAACAGATGATCCAGCGGTCTCCTTACAGCTGGTTATCATCAAGTCTTTCAAACAGATGATCCAGCGGTCTCCTTACAGCTGGTTATCATCAAGTCTTTCAAACAGATGATCCAGCGGTCTCCTAACAGCTGGTTATCATCAAGTCTTTCAAACAGATGATCCAGCGGTCTCCTTACAGCTGGTTATCATCAAGTCTTTCAAACAGATGATCCAGCGGTCTCCTTACAGCTGGTTATCATCAAGTCTTTCAAACAGATGATCCAGCGGTCTCCTTACAGCTGGTTATCATCAAGTCTTTCAAACAGATGATCCAGCGGTCTCCTTACAGCTGGTTATCATCAAGTCTTTCAAACAGATGATCCAGCGGTCTCCTTACAGCTGGTTATCATCAAGTCTTTCAAACAGATGATCCAGCGGTCTCCTAACAGCTGGTTATCATCAAGTCTTTCAAACAGATGATCCAGCGGTCTCCTAACAGCTGGTTATCATCAAGTCTTTCAAACAGATGATCCAGCGGTCTCTTTACAGCTGGTTATCATCAAGTCTTGATTTCATTTTTTCGATTTTGATTTGACTTGCGCAAAATATTTCTAAAGATGCCACATGCTATTTTAACCACTAGAAAAAAGCGACCGATCCAGTTCATCATAACTTTGCTAAAATCTTTTAAATTTGCCATCTTAAAGGATTTATAATTTGCTTTCAAATTTCTAAAACGACATTCTCGCGATTTTGTCCTTACGCTTCCACCCTACGAAGATGACGCTAATCTAATTTTAATTTCAGTTATAATTGACATTTAAAAACATAGCTCTGGTGTATCATATAGTAAATTGGTCCTCCTTGTTTATAACATGATTTCAATATCTAATTCTCATACATAAATCATATGTACATGTATGCTTACATGAAATTGGATGATGAAAAAAGTAGATTTGACCTCTACGCCCCTGATTCCGCCACTAACCAGGAACGCTCAAATCTCAATATTTATTTTACGTTTGGAGGACGTGTATTCAACAAACAATCGGCACCCCATGTGAACCAACTGTGCCCCCCTTCTTGTCGACTTGCTCCTTTATTCATATGAGGCTGACTTCATACAGGAACTTCTTATGAAGAAAGAAAAGAAGTTAGCAGTATCCTCTAACTTTACTTTCCGCTATATAGATGATGTTCTCTCACAAAATATTTCAAAATTTGATGACTATGTTGAACGCATCTATCCCATCGAACTTGAGATAAAGGATACAACAGATACAGTTAAGTCTGCCTCATATCTTGACTTACATCTAGAAATTGATAATGAGGGTCGGTTGAAAACAAAACTTTACGACAAAAGAGATGATTTCACCTTCCCAATTGTGAACTTTCCATTTCTATGTAGCAACATTCCAGCATACAGAGTATATACCTCCCAGTTGATACGATATTCCAGGGCTTGTATTTCCTATCATGATTTCCTTGATAGAGGGTTGCTGCTCACAAGGAAGCTATTAAACCAAGTGTTCCAAGTGCTGAAGTTGAAATCATCCCTTCGTAAATATTACAGACGCCATCACGAGTTGGTTGACCGTTATGAAATATCCGTTTCACAGATGAAAGCGGATGTGTTCCAAATGTCGTAACTACAATCCCGTCCCGTTTTCCCCGAAGGAGACCTACCGAATTATACTTATAACCGGGTTTGTACTTACATGAGCAACTCGACGGGTGCCACATGTGGAGCAGGATCTGCTTACCCTTCCGAACCACCTGAGATCACCCCCATATTTTGGTGGGGTTCGTGTTGCTCAGTCTTAAGTTATCTATGTTGTGTTTTGTGTACTGCTGTTTGTCTGTTGGTCTTTTTCTTTTTTAGCTATGGCGTTGTCAGTTTATTTTCGACTTATGAGTTTGATGTCCCTTTGGTATCTTTCGCCTCTCTTTAATGACGACTGAACTAATGATACCCTAGGGGAGTAACCCAGCAACTCATATATGTCGGGACTCTAACGTAGTAAAAGGCAATATTCACCTGACTCCTTTGATTACATATAATAAAAATAATACTATTTCTTTCGCAAAACATTGACAGCATCGGAAGGGGGAGTGGGTGCCCCAACCCTGATTCCTACTCCAAATCAGAGTTAATGCTACGCCACTGATAACTAGTTAGCTTTATATTTTGACATAAAAATATGGTCATCCCATGGACTTCTCCAGTTCCGGCATTAAAAACCTGTCTAACATTTGGCGTCCGTATGGCTGAGCGGTTTATGCATAAACACACAGCCATGTCCAGTCGGAATGCAGACGTTAAATCCGATATCACGTCTAGAGACAGTGCTATACTCTCTTCTTGTAAATAACTCTTTCAACGCGCTACCTGTTGTTGTAATAGCTGATAAGGTGTATTCGTCTTGAAAATGCAAGAAATATTTGTCACTGGCCGTTAAACAAACAACAATTAATGAATTAATTTATATATTCATAGCCCTGCGCTCTGTGTACACTTTGATCTCATCTCACAAACAAGTGGATAAATTGTGTATGGTTTTCTGGCTTTCGCTTAATTGTGGCTGTAATTGTTGTGGTGGAAAGTATTTGTTTTTTTTGTTGGTGGTTATTGTGATTTCTATTGATATAAGTGGCGATTGTGATCAAAAGGTGAACTGTTGCTGTTATAAGTATAAAAATAAGAAGATGTGGTATGATTGCCAATGAGTCAACTCTCCACAAGAGGCTAAATGACACAGAAATTAACAAGAATAGGTCACCATACGACCTTCAACAAAGTGCAAAGCCCATAAGATATGAACAGAAAACGGCTGAATATACTAAGTAGACATTCAAAACTCATGCACTCAGAAGTCGAAGAAAAACTGACAATGCATTCGTAAAGTGCGCCACTATTTGATTGACATATTTAATCCATAAAAAGTTTCATTGGTCAACATCTAACCTTTGACATGCGTCATCGCCCATTAATATAACAAATCATATATAGCCACACCTTACTCATTAACATGTGTAATGCGTTAATTCGTAAAATGCGTGCTCTATAAATAGCAAAAATATATTTAATATAAAATATAACAACTATTTTTATAACCATCACTTAGTGTGATGCAACCATTCCATCTTCATGCCTAATATATCATGTAAGTGTGTTACAACTCTAGATTCTACTGACGAGGAAAGGTAACACTAGGTCAACGAAAGCTGAATTTTTAGTTCAGTCTAGGGTGCCGAGTGGTTTAGAGCGCTGGACACAGTGCAGGCGGTGTTGTCTCGATATCTCAATAGCATGAATTCGAATCCCGTTGAGGGAAGAACATAAATTTGCTTTCGCAAATTTGCAGATTTAACATTGTTGTGCTGATATTTAGAGTAATTATGAACATAATATGTGTTTTCAGCCGTGTATCACCTTCACTGGTGATCCAATAGATGGATCGGTCGTAGAGTTGTCACTTGTTTAGACGTACTTCGTGCGTCTTTCTGGATTTACCTTAATCAGAAACGCTCACATCTAAATATATAAAAGTCATTGGTGCATTAATACGTAGAAAAGTTAGAAGCTATATGAACAAAAGGGGCCAAAAAAGGATTGGACAAAATAAATATAAGGTCAACTCTACCTCATGTAGTTAGAACCTTATAGTTTCTTAATAATTTTTAAATTGATCAACGGAAAATTTACGAAAGCATGTTATAAATCATGTTTGTGCGGAAGCACTGACTAACTACTAAGTCGATTGTACTTACATGCATTACATTTACAAATCTAAAATGATATCAGTTATACATGTATAAT